CCATTCTCCAAAATGTGGCTGAGAACCTTGTTGGGAAACATTTTACATTTTTTTCTTATTGTGGTTTGGTGGGAAATCCCCACTTAACTATACTTAACTGCTAAGAATTATTTTTTTGCTCTCCTTCCAACGTCAACCAAGAAATCGGGTGTTGGGCTAAAATTGCAGACGGTGGGTACAGGTACATTTTCTAGAAAAGACGCATGAGCTGGCAAAAGCGGGCCTCATTCTTTCGGCAGGCCACGGGCAAGCCTGTTTGGCTGGAACTCCCACTCGTGGAGTTTTTCCACTGAGGGCAGTGCTGCTGGTCTTTGTGGTAGCGCACATCCCGGCCTGGAGCCGAGTGTCGCTTCTTTTTTTCTTCCAAGCTCTTGTGCATGGCATCCTCTGGCTATGTGGCTAGCGAAGCCCGAAAGACATGGTCAACACCAATGGTACCATTTTGGGGTAGGTGCACCACCCATTTTAGTCTATTTTAGTGGGGATTGGGATGTTCACTCGGGGTACGGGATTTTGACCCATGGCCATTTCACCCCTATATGGGCACATTTCATAGGCTTTCCGTTGTGTCATCCAACTGCCGTCGACTGACAGTATCACAGTGCCATCAATTTCAGGCTCCTTTCTGGGCTCAAGAGGCCATGGCTCCTTGACATGGTGATGCAGTGCTTGGGAAACGTTTCCGTGAAGGGTCCCACCCTAGCTTCACTGGAGTCCCCAGATATCCTCAATGCAGCTGTCACTGGGCCTGGATGGGGGCAGTTGGCCCACGTGCCAGATGCTTATCGTCTATGCCACCCACGACCATTTGGAGGAGTCGGCATCTTAACTTCCATACCGCCATGGCATTGCACGTGTTGCCCCTCAGCCCTTGTGCTGCTCACGCGCTCGGGGGACGCCGTTTAAAGGTTTGGGGTCATTCAAGCGCCATCGCCCAAGCTTGCTGTGCGTCTCGTTGGTTACCCCTTTTGCTTCTTGAACCAACCCAAAAAGGGCACCCTCAGGAGACGCTATGGGCAAATGGGTTCGCAGCTTCCAGAAATAACGCAAAAAGGGTCCATTGGCCTGGAGCATCGGCTGAAAGACATCAAACCTTTGTTCTTCTCTCACAAAATGAACCTTTTAGATGATCAGCCGAGAATGAATTCACCCGGCAGAAGTTTGTTTCTATTTCACGCCCCCCTTTTGGCCCCCAAATGATCATCTTGTTCGTGGTTGTTCCCAATGGCCATCCGCTGTAAAGGACCTTTCGATCAACTCTCGTGTGAACGTCATGCTCCGAGGTGGAGCACCCCGTGGAACTATACGCAGCAGGCAAGCGATTGTTGTGGGCGCAGTGTTCCACAGCGGGTTGAAACTCGTTGGTGATATGAAGTTTTTCGCCTCCTACCCCGGTCAGGTGCATGAATCTGAGCTCAGCTGGCTCAACGGAAGCTCTTGTCAACCCCTTCCTTTGACTCACAAAGGACCACTGGAGCCGGGGCCTGGGGCCCGCGGTCGACTGAAGGCAACGAGGTTTCTCAAAGCCTAGAAGCTTCAGAGTTTCGCAAGCAGGTGCTCCACAAAAAGGTGGCTTCGCCTACGCGAAGCACGGGTTTTCGGACAGTCAGCATGCATTTGCGCACCACGGCCTTTAGGGTCCGTGGAGTAGTTGTTTCCCCTTGTTGTTTGACCAAAAGCAAGGTGAACACCTAAAGGGTTCAGCCAAAGGCTCGGCAAGACGTTGAAAGGGTTCAACCGACCAAAACATATTGAACCCCGACCAAAGGGCCCAACCTCTCTAATTACTTTGGCGCATGTTGCTTGGATGTTGGGACTTCAACTTTTTGCCAACTAATGGGTTTTCCAAATTAACCACTAAAAGTTGCTTCGCAGATTTCGCAACCTCCCTAGTCCTGACTCCCACATTGTGGCTTGTGCGCCAGGAGCACCAGCGGCCCGAGGTTTGCCCCCCCCCCAGGGCCAGAAGCTGGCCTTGCGACCCCTTTGCGGGAAGGTTGCCCGTCTCAAATAGACTACAGAAAAAATCGGGTACCCTTATTCTAACCTCACTGGAGGACCTATATAGTTGCGCTTCTCCCTTGACAGGGCATGATACAATCTGAGTGGAAGGGGCTGTGTCCATCCAACACTTTCCCCAGTCTGGGGGGGTCAGCTTCCGACTCTGCAGTTGCTTTCTTTGGTTTGTTGGGGGGGCAAACTCAAGCTTTACTCGGCGCTTGGAAGGCCTTACTGCTCAGCACACTCTAAGCTGTCCAATTGAACAATTGGGGTGCCTTGAGCGCCAAAATAGAACTGTGGGCCCCCTTTTCTGCTTTCAGATCACGGGGTCCCATGCGCGCATGAAGGGGCTTAACCGGCATGCTTGGTGCAAGAGGCACAGAGGAGATGTTTCAGGCGCCGGGAAGATGGTGGAACGGGGTTGGTGGGGCGAAAACAACTTCAAGTCGCAAGTTGCACTGTGTGGAAGGCCGTTGGTTGCGCTGTGCCCGCTCCGGCCCTAATCGATTCAAAAGCCCCGGGCACGTCATGAGGAGATGCAGGTGAGGACACTCGCATTTCAAGCATGCACTTTACCCAGCACTCGCAAAGACCACCACAGAGCAGAAGTCGGATGCAAACAAATGAGCATCAGGGCAGCCATGGTAGGCCAAGATAAAATGAGAAACGGACCGCGATGCTAGCGGAAGCCCTTGCAGATCCTGAGTTCCCCGCGTGCGCATGCCCTTTGACGCGGATGTGGGAGTATGAGTATGTCCCTTCAAGGGGGACGACCCCACTGCCGGCGACGCCACGATCTGGACAGAGCACAGTTCCATCACCGCGAACACCGAGACTCTGGCAAGTGGGCGTGTCTTAAAATAGGGGACCACAGAAAATGGCAGGTTTCCTTCGGTTCCCCTCTGTATAAACCAACCCAAAAAGGTTCATAAAGGGCACCACAAAAGAAGACACCAAGTCTCACCGGAGTTTACTCTTTTGAAGCAGCATGCCTTGTTGAATTGCGAGGGTTGAACATTCTTGCATTGCTTGAGTTTTTGTTGGTTCTCATTGGATGCACAGCAGCTACATCAACAAAGAGGCGCACTTTCCAAAAGAGGTCACTCGGGACTTGCAATGTCAACGATTGTCCGCTGCGATGAGTGGCTCCCTGAAATCCAATAACATGACATTGGTTGCATGGGAGGGCAGCCATTGAGGCAGACAGAAACAGGCCAATCATGAGTCCTAGGCATGCCTGCGGCAAAGGGCTTACTTCCATAAATTCAATCAAATCCAGTTTGTTTGTTGATCTCCTCTGACAGGCACGTGAGAGTTGCTTGAACGACGTGTGTATATATGCATTTGTATGTGTATATATATATATACATAAATATGTGCGCGCAGGCCATTTTCTGGAGCTTGCATTAGAAGGACCACTGGCCAAAGTTCAAGGATTGATTCAGTTTGATTAGTTTCGTTTGATTAAACTTCAGATTTGTCCGTCGAGAACGTGTGGGGCATGATTTTGTGTTCGCTCATTGCCGAACAGCAGCTGCACCCCCAGTGGACACACACACACGCACAAAAGTTCGATTGCGACACAGAATGCGTGCCACAAGTGGTTTGGCAACTTGCTTGTCTTCGTCTTGCAATCATGCAAGAAAACGCCCGGAGGTCAGCCGTATCACGAGTTGTTTTTGCGTCCAAGTCCTGGCCCATGTTCTCTTTTCGGGCAGGGTCCTTCAGGTAGATTGATACATCACTTGGGCCAACCAACTTGAGCCTCTGCCAACCAACCCCTTCAAGAGAACAAATGTTCCTCCAGGTGCCCTCCAGATGCCTCTAAGAACTTGGCTGGAGACTTAGAATACATTTTGCCAGTGACTCGAAGTGAAGCAAACAATAAAATATACATACTGTAGCTGGGCCTATCTCTAATCATGGTGGGTTTGATGCCTACGCCACTCCGATTTCCGCAAGGAACACTGCGAAGCAGCTGTTCGGGCGGCCCCCTGGGAGCGCCAAAGGCGCCTTCAGGCGGCCTGACCGGTCAGGCAAGCCGGTGGGGGACCCCACGTCTTGCCGCCACACACACACGCAGAAACACAACCGCATATACACACAAACACGTATACACACAATATACACATATACACGTATACTCATATACACATGCATGTATGCATGCATGGATTTGCGTAGGCACGAATGGACACACAGACACACGCGCATACATTCATGACCATACCGCATGCCATAGCAGGGAATACCATACGTACCACACATACATCCCCACCTACCTACGTGCCTGCCTGCACACTTGCATACATACATGCAGACCCGGATGCGTACATACGTAAATATATCCATATTGTATCTACGTACAACATGCCTACGTACACACAATACAATGCGAACAAATGAATGACAATGCCCCAGAAACATTACTATATATAATGCAATGAAAATACAAATAGTACGCAATGCAGTACAGTACGATACAACACAACAAGACGCAATGCAACACAAAACGAGACATCACACTTGACATTTACCAAGAACAAAACAGCTGCGTTTAGCATTGTCGTTTTGATGAGCATTGCAGTTACTACATTCAACACATTACATGATATGTTGCATTCGCTTTAGCCTTTAGCAGTACAATCAACAGCTTTGAGCCCGTTTGCACGCGTCATCCAACTGGCATTACCCTTGAGGGCGCACAAGGCTAACAGCAATAGTGGACCAGCCTGAGTCCACATTGTGCAGCTTGGTGTTCCAATGTGCCCAGCCGCAATCCAATGGATGGGTATGGCGATGGACGGGGTTTATATGTGCTTCCTCTTCCAGTTGGTTACGCATTAGAAAAGGAACAAACAACAGCTGTTGGTTTTAAAGGGGGTCTATCACTATTGGAAATATGTCTAGTTTCTTCCAGGGGCGAAAAAGCAAATGGAAGTCCCTCTGCACTCATTTGCTCGTGGATTGCTTGCGCCCAAGCTGCCCGTGCCTGCCAGGCGCAGGCAAGGTGCCGCTGCGGGCGACGTCCCCGTTCTTCGGAGGCGACTTTCGCGCGCGCGGCATCGCCTCGTCGGGCCCACGCGACCTGCGGTTTTCGTGCTCGGGGCCGTGCTGATTGTAAGCATGGTGTAGGTAGTGAGCATGGAGTAGATACACAGGAGCAGTATGACATATGTGAGCATGACCAATTTCACACATATAGTTGGTGGCATAGTATTGCATAGCTTCTATGGTACATCATTCGTTTGGATTTTTCAAAGTACTTGAGCCATTTGCTCAATGGTCGGCTGCCCATGTGCAGCTAAACCAGGGGCGGCTCATTGATGCTTTTTTTCGGGTCCCTGAATTTCTAGTTGTGTATCCGCAAAGGCGGCCGTTGAAGCCTGGAAATGTGCCCCTTCCAAAGTGGCTGGTGCGGAAGCGATCCCCCCCTTTAGAAGAAGCATGTGCTCCCAGGCAAGCCACTATGGTAGCCCTTCAGGATCCTTGCCTCTAGGTTTTACATCATGGCTTTCCTTGGTTATCGACTTTAGTGGCAATTGGAAGCACTGGAAAAAACATGTGCCATATCTACTGCCTACTGCAGTTGGGATGGGATCTTTAGACTTTATTTTTTGGGATTCCCCTCAGACTTCCTTTTAATTAGCAACAAGTTAAACTTTTTGCTGCGAGATCTGCAGCACCCAAGCCATGTGCTTGTGCAACCACTGGCCGTGCAGAACCCTCGCCAAGCTCTTTCGAATACGGATGCTGGCGGCCGGGCAAGCAGCGGCTGCCTGAGCGCGTGCGCCAGGAGGCGAGGGCCAAAGGGAAATGTGATTTGGTTCTCCCCGCGTTTGGCCCATATTTCTTGACTGCTATTGGGTTGGATCTTTAGACTTTAAGTTTTTGGGAAATAAAGGTGTTTTCCACTACACCCCCCAGAAAGTTAAACTTTTGCAGGGTGTGGCTCAAAATTAAACCAGGATATGGACCACAGGTTGCAGTTCTTTTTTCCATTTACCAGGGCACGCCATTTTGGGTTCATATGTTTGACCCGCACCCATATTTAGTCAAGGTCACTGAAGATGAAACTTTCATTTTCAGGTCCTTGGGCAAGTCAACCTGTCACAAGGAGGGGGGGGGTCCTCCACTGGTGTCGCATGTCTGGACTTTCTTTGTTTTTTCTGGCGCGCCGGGATCTTTAGGAATTTGGGTGTGGATGGAATTTGGGTGCTTCGTTTTTGTTTGCCGTTTGCAGAGTTGCCTCAAACATTGTAGCGATGCAACCGGAGCTTTCCTTGGTGCATTTTGCCAAGGGCTGTTAGGACTTTAGCTTTTCGCCAACGAATTTGGGTTTTCCGTACTAAACCACTAAAAGTTAAAAACTTTGTCGCACCCGAGTGTGGTTTTCTTTTTCTCGTTGGCCTCCATGTCCTCTCACTTGCCGAGTTCCTGGGGTCGCTGGGCAAACTTTTCGGGCTGTCCCATTCTTTTTGTGTTCTTCGGCCAAGCCACGCGCTTCGAAAGATGAGTTCAAACAGAAACTGCCCAAAATCATTATAGTAAGTCGATGACTTGAAGGATGTGTTTTTTTTTTCTGGGGGAATCGCCTTTATTGAGGTCTTCCCTCTGAAACATCCACGGCTGTTTTTGGTGACGCGAGCCGGCGGCCGGTGTGTCTCTCGTAGGTCTCGCTGCAGCGAGACATGGCCCGGCGGCTGGGCAGCGGAATGGAAGAAACATGGAACCGGGGCCTGGCGTTCTATGGGAACGGATCTTTTAATGGGACCAAGAAGTTAAAGTCCAATCAGTTCTTTTGTGTGCTATTTGGGAATGGATCTTTGGACTTCAACTTCTTGCAGGTTGGATCAGCAGGTTGGATCAGGTGCATGGCCAGTTTGGAAACGGATCTTTGGACTTCAACTTCTTGGGTGAAGCAGGTTGGATCAGGTGCATGGCCAGTTTGGAAACGGATCTTTGGACTTCAACTTGGGTGAAGCAGGTTGGATCAGGTGCATGGCCAGTTTGGAAACGGATCTTTGGACTTCAACTTCTTGGGTGAAGCAGGTTGGATCAGGTGCATGGCCAGTTTGGAAACGGATCTTTGGACTTCAACTTCTTGGGTGAAGCAGGTTGGATCAGGTGCATGGCCAGTTTGGAAACGGATCTTTGGACTTCAACTTCTTGGGTGAAGCAGGTTGGATCAGGTGCATGGCCAGTTTGGAAACGGATCTTTGGACTTCAACTTCTTGGGTGAAGCAGGTTGGATCAGGTGCATGGCCAGTTTGGAAACGGATCTTTGGACTTCAACTTCTTGGGTGAAGCAGGTTGGATCAGGTGCATGGCCAGTTTGGAAACGGATCTTTGGACTTCCAACTTCTTGGGTGAAGCAGGTTGGATCAGGTGCATGGCCAGTTTGGAAACGGATCTTTGGACTTCAACTTCTTGGGTGAAGCAGGTTGGATCAGGTGCATGGCCAGTTTGGAAACGGATCTTTGGACTTCAACTTCTTGGGTGAAGCAGGTTGGATCAGGTGCATGGCCAGTTTGGAAACGGATCTTTGACTTCAACTTCTTGGGTGAAGCAGGTTGGATCAGGTGCATGGCCAGTTTGGAAACGGATCTTTGGACTTCAACTTCTTGGGTGAAGCAGGTTGGATCAGGTGCATGGCCAGTTTGGAAACGGATCTTTGGACTTCAACTTCTTGGGTGAAGCAGGTTGGATCAGGTGCATGGCCAGTTTGGAAACGGATCTTTGGACTTCAACTTCTTGGGTGAAGCAGGTTGGATCAGGTGCATGGCCAGTTTGAAACGGATCTTTGGACTTCAACTTCTTGAAGCAGGTTGGATCAGGTTTCAACTTCTTGGGTGGATCAGGTGCATGGCCAGTTTGGAAACGGATCTTTGGACTTCAACTTCTTGGGTGAAGCAGGTTGGATCAGGTGCATGGCCAGTTTGGAAACGGATCTTTGGACTTCAACTTCTTGGGTGAAGCAGGTTGGATCAGGTGCATGGCCAGTTTGGAAACGGATCTTTGGACTTCAACTTCTTGGGTGAAGCAGGTTGGATCAGGTGCATGGCCAGTTTGGAAACGGATCTTTGGACTTCAACTTCTTGGGTGAAGCAGGTTGGATCAGGTGCATGGCCAGTTTGGAAACGGATCTTTGGACTTCAACTTCTTGGGTGAAGCAGGTTGGATCAGGTGCATGGCCAGTTTGGAAACGGATCTTTGGACTTCAACTTCTTGGGTGAAGCAGGTTGGATCAGGTGCATGGCCAGTTTGGAAACGGATCTTTTGGACTTCAACTTCTTGGGTGAAGCAGGTTGGATCAGGTGCATGGCCAGTTTGGAAACGGATCTTTGGACTTCAACTTCTTGGGTGAAGCAGGTTGGATCAGGTGCATGGCCAGTTTGGAAACGGATCTTTGGACTTCAACTTCTTGGGTGAAGCAGGTTGGATCAGGTGCATGGCCAGTTTGGAAACGGATCTTTGGACTTCAACTTCTTGGGTGAAGCAGGTTGGATCAGGTGCATGGCCAGTTTGGGAATGGATCTTTGGACTTCAACTTCTTGGGTGAAGCAGGTTTGATCAGGTTGGATCTTCCATTGGACCCACACACAGTGAACAACGTATCGCAGAGGGGTCAACCGCAAGCAAGGTTTGACATTGGACCCTCGCCCTAAAGTCCTTGGCAGTTGCGACTTGGTCCAGGCAAGCTGTCGGTTTTCCGCTTTTGCCACGCTGCTTCTTACCAGCGCTCAGGATGCTGGATCACATCATTGATAAGGCCCACTTTCAAGATGCAGGCAGGGCGCCAAAAATAACTGCACAGCCATTGCGGTGTGGCCGCGCGGGACTTGCGGCAACCTTCAGCTTTGCAACTATAAACTATAGTATACAAACACAAACCAAACCAGTCTTATCTTTGTCTAGATCTATATCCATATAATTATATACATCTGTGTATGCATGAGACTTGGTATCACGTATCAAAGTGGCAAAATCGAGCAAACAAAGGCTGTCGAAGGAAGTCATCGCGAAGCATGTGAGCGGAGAGATGGGCAGCGCTGCAACATGCAGCATGCCAGCAAAAGCACATAAACCTAGACATTGCGGTCGAGGGGTATCATGCACGAACAACCGGACTGAACCTCCATAATGCAATGGCACGGCCCTACAGCCAACCTAATTAACCCAACATAAACAAACCCTAGATCCATCTCAAACCAAGCCGCGGAGAGGGGGCGGGGGGGTGGAGAAGCCTCCAATGGCAGCCTATACGATGGATCCTCCCAAAAACAAGTGAGTCATATCCAAAACCACTACACGAGTCTACCCAACACCGTGTAAAGAATCTAAAGGGGGCGGCCCCGCACCTTTTTCTGGTTGGGACTAGGGCTTCACTTACCCGAGTTTGATTGCGGCCCAGGTGTGTCGCACATGCATCTATTGATGTTTGTTTTACTGAGTGTGTTGGCACTCCTCCCTCCCCTTCCACTCTTCATGGTCAGGACTGTTCACACGTACATGTAGAACCGGAGGTTCTGGTAGAGATGTGTGCGTTTGCATGAACATAGCACATAGCTTTTGTCAAAGGGATGGGTCATAATTATACCAGGCTGTTCAGGCAGGATAATGCCTGGGAACTTTCTAGTGACGGACTCCTGATCAGGGCGGGCCTTCAATGTCCAAGAAGCCCTCTCCAAAGTCCGGAACAGGTCGCGCCCGTGGGCCACGTCGAGCAAAGAAACATCACCTTGCTTTGCGTTCGCACTTCGCGTGTTTCGGCTTACAAGGGCAATGCCTTGGGCACGCTGACGACCAATTTTGGTGTTCAACCGCTTTGGTCCATTAATCTGGGTGAATTATAACGACCTCACACGACCTCACCCCAAATCATTGTTTATGTGGGGAATAGCCCCCCAACCACCTTATTTCAGGCTGGTGAAATATTATAATTCACACAGATTAATACTTGATTGCTATTGGGATGGATCTTTGGACTTTAGCTTCTTGGTTGAAATTAAGGGTTTCTGCTAAAGCCGCAAAAAGTGAAAGTCCATTAATACTTCTCCGTTTTGGTCCATAACAAAATCCTGCACCACTTTGAAACCAAGGAATTATTTTCGATTCCCCTGTCACAAGCAAACAATGGTTTCAACATGGTTTCAAAGTGGTGGGAACGGATTTCGTTCATCCACAGTAGGTCCCATAGGAAGGTCGATCCTTTCTTCCAGGTCCGTTGGAAAACGTCCCTTGGCGTTTTCTCTGCCAGACCAGCCACAGCCAGAACCGGAGCGGCTGGTGCCGTACACGGAGGAGTGGCACCTTGGGCTGCCCTGTCATTTCTTTGGTGCATTTTGCCAAGGGCTGTTAGGACTTTAGCTTTTTGCCAACGAATTTGGGTTTTCCACTAAACCACTAAAAGTTAAAAACTTTTAGCAGGGGAGCAGAAAGCAACCGAGAAATGTGCCCAGATCTTCCCTTCCACTGGTGTCCCTATATTACCCTCCCATCTACATGGAACCTGACTCTTTAGGGTCCCGGAAGACCATTTTCCTTCAAAATGCACCCTCTGGTGGATTCCATGTTACTGGACGGAGGGTACCGGTTCAACATTACCTTTTGCTAACCCAAGGTGAGTATCTCAAGGTATCCCTTAGTAGGGGTGATGTTTTAAGGGGAAAGCAAAACCCCGTTCCAACTCACAGAAGGCATGGGAAGGTACCAGTCGGACCTACCTGTTACAGGAGTTTCCGTGCCATGTTCGCAGGCTCAGTTTGGATCCCCAGCTCCAAAGCAAGCTTCGCCGCAAGCCACAGTTCTTCCATTTGCTTGAGCATGTCGCTTATTTCCCCTTGTTGGTTTTCAAGGGAACCTACCACTACTGCATGGTTGTAGCTATTGTGGTTTAGTGGCTTGAACTCCAAATCCACTTAGCTGCCAAATTGATTGCACGTTTGCTCCTCCAACGTCAAGCGCGGGTTCCCCCTGTTGAAGCCACCGGGGTTTCCCACCGCGAGCGGGGGACCGAGGCCCACGGTGGAGTTTCCGGACTGGCCCGGGAAGCAGGATCGGAGATCGGGGAGCATCCGCGAGGGCTCAGGGCTCCATTGGGCGGTGCCGAAGCGGGATACGGGTGTGTGTCTTATCTCAGTTGCCCAAAGCGAGCCGACCGGATCTGACCTCTTGGCATCTCCTTTTTGGTCTAGTTTTAGTCATGGCCCCAAAAGGTTAACCTTTTATGTCTGGGTCCTTTGGGCAACTGAGTCTTGTTTTTTAGTTGGTGCCCCCTGTTTGCGGGTGTGAAACGGTGTCCAAGAGGATGTTGCTTTGGGTTGGGGTGGGTTTTCTAGGGCAACGAATGAATGACGATGTGGGGGGGGGAAGTCCGAAAGTCGGAAGCCTGCGCTGCGAATCTCGGGCTTGCGGGTTCGTGCGCCTTGTGCTGGGGAGCTTCTTTGCAGCATTCCCAGGGTCCGTCAAAATGGAGGGGGGATGTCGTTTTCTGGAGATCTCCACTTATGGCCACCCACGTTTCCCAACCTTTGCGGGGAAGACTGGGCAAATGGAAACGCGGGACCCATTCCCGTCCTCATATTGGATCTTGCAGCTAGTTCTCACTTGCGAGTCGCAACTTCCTCAACAGAAACCCTCTTTGTTGCATTTTGCTCAGATGTTAGGACTTTAACTTTTGCCAACTAGCGGGTTTTCCATCAAGCCACTCAAAGTTAGTTACTTTTCGCAGGGGAGCAGAAAGCAACAGAAACCCTCGCCTCGCCGGGACTTCTCCAAGCCTTGGACAGGAGAGGCCAAGGACGCCCATAGACGTGCTGCTGCAGCAGTCCGACCTCTACAGCCAGAGCTGCCCGACTGCATCGAACCGATTTCGAGTTTTCACGAGTTTCGGGTTCGTGCGAAGTCCCGCTCCGTGTCGAGCTTTAGGCGCTGCCTGGATCGCCAGTTGCCGCCTTCTTCCATGCACTCTACCCCAAAAACCAGCAACAGTGACTGAACATAACAGCAACTTGGCTATCTAGGTGGAGGTTGAAACCCTCCAAAGGTCCAACTGGATGGCCCTCGGAAAGTTCGCCTTGTGGATGCACGGGTGGAGCCAACCAGCGCACGCCGAAAAGCCCAGGCGCGCCCAACAAATCTACCAGCTTCGATTTGCCGGACAACGCGTCGAAGCTTGGATGCAGGTCGGGGGTATTAGGAGCACCAACGCTGGGGGCTAAATTGCCGAGTTGTGTTTGATTTCTCCAGGAAGCCCAATATAAGATGGATATAATTACCATTTTTCTGGCGGCAGCAGCAGCGGCTTTTCGCAGCAGCAGCAGAAGTACTAGCAGTTGGCACTGCCAGTCATTGCTGTATGTGAATTGTTTGTCGTGGCAGCGCTGGGGGTGGGTCGGAGTAGACACTGGTCGAGGCCTCAAATTTGTGAATTTCTTGATGCCACATCAGGTGCTTGGAGCTATTTGGAGCTGCTTTGAGCCACTTTTGTTGCAACAAATATGGGCTGCAGGTTGCATGTTTCTGCAGGCATTTTGGCACTTTGGCACCGGTGTGATTTATTTTTCAGTGAATTAGTCCTGCTGAGCGTGATCGCGACATGGCGGCAGTTGCAGCTCCGGAGATGGAGGATCTTCGAGCACCTCAGATGATGTGCTTCCAGTGCGAGCAGACCAACGCGGGCAAGGGCTGCACGACCACGGGGGTGTGCAAGAAGTCTCCGCAGACCAGCGGCCTGCAGGACCTGACGATTCTGCATGCTCTGCGCCTGTGCCAGCTGGCCCACGTGGAGGGCGGCGCAGAGGCGGCGGTCCGGGACTTGGTGCTGGAGCCGCTCTTCGCCACCCTGACGAACGTGAACTTCGACGACGCCCGCTTCGAGCAGTACCTCAAGGACCTGGCAGCCCACATCGCCCAGCTGGAGGCTCGGCTGAAGGCCGGCGGCCAGGCGGTGCCGGCGGCGCCCAAGGCTCTGCCGGCCAAGCTGCCGGAGACCAAGCAGGAGCTCCTGGCGGCTGCTGAGCCGGCGGGCTTGCTGGCGCGATCCGCGGAGGTGGCGAATGAGGACATCCATTTGCTGAAGAACATGTTTATATATATATATATTGTTTTTTCCCTTATTGGGTTTAATGGGGATCTATCACTACTGGACATTTTGTTTTTACTTTTTCCAGGGGGCTTAAGCAAATGGAAGAGGACCTCTTCGGAGTCATCGAGATGTGCGCCTATGGTCTGAAGGGCACATGCGCCTACTTCTACCACGCCGAGCACCTGCTGGCCGGGGATGCCGCCTACAGCGAGTCCGAGCGGACCGAGGTCTATAAGGAGATTTTCCGTCTGGGCAACTACTTGGCTGAGGTCAACAGCACCACAGCCAAGGAGAATGCTTTGGGGGTGGCGCTTGGGGAGTGTTTGGCGGTGGGCGCCCTGAACCTGAAAGTCATGAAGCTTCCCCAGAATTCCTTCCCCTTTTTTGTTTTTTTGCTTTTTTGGGCCCCCTCTTGCTTTTTCCACTAACCAGGCCAAATGAATAAAAATAAACATTTTTTTTCGCTGGGGTCCTAGTTTAGTTCCAGCCAAGGAAGATGCTGGACAGCGCGCACACCACGCTCTTGGGCACCCCCACGCCCGTGGAGGTGACGCAGGAGCAGCCCGAAAGCCCGGCCATCTTGGTGAGCGGCCACGACCTGGCGGTGCTCCATCGCCTCCTGCCGCAGGCGGAGAAGCAGAAGGTCAACGTGTACACCCACGGGGAGATGCTGCCGGCGCACTCCTACCCCAAGCTGAGGAAGTTCGAGAACCTGAAGGGCCACTTCGGCACACACTGGGGGAACCAGCAGAAGGAGTTCCGCCACTTCCCGGGGGTCATCCTCATGACCTCCAACTGCATGATGCCCCCCGTGGGAAAGTACCGGGATCGCATTTGGACCTGCGGCCCCGTGGGCTTCGACAAGATCCCTCAGGTGGCTTCCACTTGCCTTGCTGAAATGTTGTTTTTTCATGTTGCCCTGTTGGTTTTCAGAGGGACTCACTCGATTTCACTACTGGAAAAACAAGATTTCCGCATTTTTTCCAGGGATCGCAAAAGCTTCCATTTGCTCAAGACCATTTTTTGTTTTCTCCCTGGTTTTGAAGGGAATCATGTGGTTTTCATGTTTTCCAGGGGTCGCAAAAGCTTCCATCTGCTCAAGACCATTTTTTTAAAGTTTTGAAAATCAATCTATCACTACTGGAATATGTTTTTCATGCTTTCCAGGGGACCCAACAGCCTAAGCAAATGGCAGGTGGAGGACGACTTCTCAGCATTGATTCAGCAGGCGCTGGAGTTCAAGGACTCCGTGCCGGTGCCGCGGTCGGGCGTGATCCCGCACCGCAAGCTGCAGGTGGGTTTCGGCCATGCGGCAGTTCCTCAGTAGAAGCGAACTCGACATCGTTTGACCTTTGGGTTTTGCCCAGTTTTGAGCTTTCGACCTTCGGTTTTGACACAAAGCCGACCTCTTTGCCCTTCTTGACCTTCGGTTTTGTCCAAGGTGGGCATTTTCGGTCCCCTTGTTTGACCTTGGGTGTTTCCATGTTGGTCCATTTCTTGTGGCGCAAGGTGGTCACCCCGTTAAAAAATAAAAATAAGCTCAGTTGCCCAAAGCCGACCTTTCGACCTTTTGGTTTTCCCGTTTTGGTTCATTTTTAGTGGAGGTGCCAAAAGGTTGACCTTTTATTTCTGGGTCCCATAGGGGCAAGTGAGTCAAAAATGGGGTCGCGTTCCGCAACGGGGCAAGTCTGAGGTTCTGGGTGTGGCGGACAAAGTGGTGGAGGCCATCCAGTCGGGGGCCCTGAAGCACGTCTTCGTCATCGGGGGCTGCGATGGCACGGAGAACTCCCGGAGCTACTTCACGGACCTGGCGGCGGACACGCCCCAGGCACCTAGGCCCTAGTCCTTTTTTTGCTAAAGCGTGTGGCTGACGTGAATCTGGTTTTCTTCTTCTTCTTCTTCTTCTTCTTGTTTTTTTTTTTTGTGTGTGTGTGTGTGTTTTTTTAGAAATTCCCTGGCTGGTTTTAAAAGGAAACGTTTTCTTTACTGGACATATGCTCATGTTTTCCAGGTGGCTTGAGCAAATGGAAGTGTAGGTGTTTCAGTAGTGCTTCCATGCAAGCCACTATAGTAGGTAACCAAGTAATACCTCTAGGTTTTTTGGGATCATGGTTTTTCCTGGTTACCTACCATAGTGGTTGGTAACTGGAAGCGCTGGGTAGATGGGCTTCACGGGTTTAGATGAGTCTTCCATTTGCCAATTCTACCAGGGCCATCTAA